TAAGCATATTCCTTAGGAGATAAGGATTACAACAATAAAGGGGATGATTATCCTAATCCTATAATGATTAGGATAACTACAACATATGGATAAATACAAGGGAGGATAGTGACTGATGCTTGGCCGCCTGGTATGGTACTGATGTGGTCTGGTCCATTTCCGGATATGTCCCAACCACCATCTTCATTTCTTAACACTTTTCTTTTTTTACCAAAAAAGCTTATCAGAATCATAATGGGTCAAAGCTTGGATCATAATAACGTCAGCCTGACACAATGCAATCAACGTTCTGGTTCCAAACAATGCGGCGGTGTAAGCTTTTTGAAGCCCATTAGGGCCCACAAACATCCCAAAGCCGTCATGATCCTCTCTATAAATAGCTACACACAATCACCAAACCAAAACACAAAACAAGATTCATTTTACAAAAACTAACAAGACTTTTTACTTTAGTACATGAAAGCTGCGATAAACATAGCAAATACGCTTCGAGGATTGGTTACATTCGGATTCATCAGAAACATCAAATCAATGTCTTCTTCTTCTTCTTCTTCCCAAAACTTTGTGTCAAGATCTGTAATCAAGAAAGTCTTCGCTAAGCTTCAGAAAGAAGGCGATGGAGCCGTTGTTAGACGTGGCATTTCCAGGTTCTTTAATCTTTTTCTTCTTATTTTCTTACCTCTTTCTATTTCAGGAAATATCAATGATTATCAAAGTCTTATCTTCTGAATTTTTTCTTCTTGTATAAATCCAGGAGTGAGCAGAAGCTGTTAGATCCTTTCTTGATGCTGGATGAATTCTCCGGTAAGTTCTTGGAAGCAGCCATTATATTTACATATTTATTATATACGTTAAATAATGGAAACCATTTTTAAACATTAAATAATGGAAGCCATTTATTGATAGCTCTTTGATTATATTTTACTCTGTCATTTTTCTTTGGGGCAGTTTCACCTCCAGCTGGATTCCCAGATCATCCTCACAGAGGTCAGTCAAAGCACCTATAACATATGTGCACATTATATATATTAGAAATGGGTGTATATGATGTCTCTCTAACACTTTTGTTAAATTATTATGATTAGGTTTTGAAACTGTTACGTATGTACTAGAGGTAAAGAAACATCCTCTTTCTGTAACTTGTTTTCTTTCTAAACTAAACATCTTTTTATTCTAAATCTTGCTAATAATTATTTTTTTAACTAAACATCTTTTAAAAAAAATTAATTGTCGATCTTCTTTTTAAATTATCATCTTCTAATGTTTTCTTTCCTTTCTGTGATGGTAGGGAGGAATTACTCATCAAGATTTCAAAGGCCACAAGGGTACAATCTAATATCTATGCTGGTGATGTTCAGGTGACAATTTTTTTTAAAAAAAAAATTTTAGTTATTTGATAATCCAACAATTTAAAACTATAGAAAACTTATAAATGTCCTTAAAAAGAAAATTTATAAATAATATTTTTCCTTTTATTACAGTGGATGACTGCAGGAAGAGGAATCATTCACTCTGAAATGCCTGAAGAAGAAGTTAACAAAGGTTTACAGCTATGGATCAATCTTTCTTCCAGCGAGAAAATGTAACACAAACACACACTAACAAATTGGACATTAATTCTTTAGAATTTCTAAACCGTACAATTGACTTTTTAAATTTTAATTCCGACAGGATAGAGCCAAATTATCAAGAACTGTCCAGTGCAGACATACCAAAAGCAGAACAAAACGGTGTCCAAGTCAAAGTCATAGCAGGAGAATCAATGGGAATCCAATCTCCTGTCTACACAAGAACACCAACAATGTTCCTAGATTTCACTCTTGGTCCAGGAGCTCAGTTCCACCAGAACGTTCCAGAGTCTTGGAACGTGTTTGCTTATGTTCTAGAAAGTGGTGAAGGTGGAGCCGTTTTTGGCTCATCAAACTCTTCTCCTGTTTCAGCGCACAACGTTGTGGTATTCGGACAGGGAAATGACGGTGTTAGCGTGTGGAACAAGTCATCTTCTAAGATACTGAGGTTTGTGTTAATAGCTGGAGAACCAATTGGTGAACCGGTGGTTCAGTACGGTCCATTTGTGATGAATACACAAGCCGAGATTGATATGACTATTGAAGATTATCACTATAGTAAGAATGGCTTTGAAATGGCCAAGTATTGGAAGTCACAGTGAGAGAGATAGACTACTAATAATCATTGTTTTTATCATTTTCGTACTTGTGTGTTTATTTCATGTGTGATTCGAACTGAAATAATAATAAATTTAAACAAATATAGACATTTTTATTTTGCTAAATATGGGTGTGAACCCATAAGATCCAAGGCTGACTTTATCATTAGTTCACCCTAGTCATCATTATTACGTTTTCTACAATCTAAGTTTAAATTAACTGTTCAACTATGATAAACACTGACATGTGAAGAAAGCATAACACACACTTTCTTCCATTCTTAGAATGTGAAATAGACATATAGGAAACAATTGTGAAATACCAAACGCGTATTAACATGATTGTTACTTTAATCATCTACTAATATTCAACTCCTATAATCATGGCCCATGCGGATAGGAGATTGCTCCAGATATTTTTTGATTACTTTTTCGAGAACTACAATATTTGGTTATGTAAATATGATTGCTAAGTTTACAAAATATTATATTTTGTTACTATATTAAATTCAGACTTTATCATGAGTTTATAACTCAAACGGATTAATAATAATTGGATAGATCTTCACTTGCTATATCATTTCATTATTCTTCCGTTTTTGCACTAACATCCTCCTCTCACACTTCGGTATAAACATAACATAAACATATGAAAGGTGGACAATTTGCGGGCTACTAGACCAAAACTGTGATTCAGTCCATACAGTGGTGCGCTTGAAGTGGGAGGTCATGCTGTCCTTATTGGAGGAACCTTTACTCACAAGGCCCCACCATTGGGGCATAAGGACATCTTGAATATGTCAATTATGTTATGGTCGGAGTCCCACTAGTGGGGAGCTGTAACCTGACTATGAAACTAATTAAAAAAAAAAGAGAAAAAAAGAAGACTATGAAGCTAATTGAAAAAATATCAAAAGTGATTTTAACACTCACAGAGTTTACTTTTTTTTTTTAGCAACACACTCACAGAGTTTACAAAAGTTACAATGTCACATGTAGAGAAATATTGAAAACATAACTTATACACTGACAAAACTTCTTTGTCCAAATTTTCTTACATTTCTTTTGTATCTCCATAACAAATAAACTCAAAACACTTTTTCTCCCTTTTACTTTAACTTTAATTAAGAACCAAAACAATGTCTGTCATCTTTCTATAAGTTAACACTCAGGACACAACATAAACCGGTTAGAGAGAAACATTAACTAGAACAACAAGAAAATCTCTTTGTCCCTTCATTCTCATTCTTGACCAAACTAACCCGATTCACAGTCAGTTCCTCCTTGTAAGAATCAGAGTTAAGTTGCTTCCTACTAATATTACCATAAATCTCACGAATGACCATCTCAAAAGCCATCTTCACATTGGTCGAATCAAGCGCAGACGTCTCCATGAAAAACAAACCTTGAGACTCCGCAAGACCTTTACCTTCCTCAACACTGACCGCTCTAATGCTCTCGAGATCACACTTGTTACCAATAAGCATCTTCGCTACTGCTGTATCAGAGTGAGCTGCATCAAGATTCATCGTCAAGATCTAAGATCTAACCTCATGTTTAAGATCTAAGAGATAGAGAGATGAGAAACATACTGTTGAGTTCATCGAGCCAGCGAGCAACGTTCTCGAACGTGGAGCTGCGAGTGATGTCGTAGACGACAAGTGCTCCTACAGCGCCACGGTAATAAGCGGAAGTGACGGCGCGGAAGCGTTCTTGGCCGGCGGTGTCCCAAATCTGAGCCTTGACTTCTTTGTTGTCGATGACCATGCTTTGCGTCTGAAACTCGACGCCTATGGTGGCTTTTGAGTTGGGGTTGAACTCGTTGCGTGCGTAGCGGGTGAGGAGGTTGGATTTTCCGACGGCGGAGTCTCCGATGATGACGATCTTGAAGAGGTACTCTTCACCTCCCTCGTCGTCTGACATGTCTTCTGCTCTGTAATGATTAGTTCAAGAAGTAGAGAGAGAAAGAGGGTTTTGATCAAGAAGTAGAGAGAGAGAGAGAGAGTTTGTGTGTGTATTGTCTTTATTAGGCTGTTAATGAGGCTCAATAAATGTCTGTTTACTTTACGCATGAAAGTAGATTTTAACAAGAATCACGCATCGTTAGTTGTGAACAACTATGAACAAAACCTTGAATTTGTTAAATATGTTATTTTAATACCTACACTTAGGCATGGGAGTGCAATTAGATTTGATTTGGATTCAATCGATTTTAATATTTTGGGAGCATATAATTTAGCTTCATATAGGTATTTTTAAAGTGTAGGGTCGGTCCAGTAAAACTTAAAATTTAAAATAACATAAAATAAATCTCACTCGGTATTTTTAATAGATTGAATTCTGTTCGGAATATCTGTTCAGATGGGTTCGTTTTTTTGCCCACATCTATCTACATTAGTATATCATTAGTATATGACACCGACAGTTCTCTTTGTAGTTCATATTTAAATAATTTTTTTTATTTGTTAAATTGTGGGCATCAAATGAAAAATGAGGGAAGATTTTTAGGTGGGTAGACGCTAAACCATATGGGCTGATATTGTAAAGCTTAGAAGCTGTGTCTTGTTTTTTTTTTCTTGATAAATTCTATGGGTTGATCCGGTCGGCGTTGGTCCATGAGAACTGTGTTTTGTGTTGACCCAAAAATGAAAAAGTTATGTCTCTTCTGGATGATAAATAATATTTAAGAGTGGCATAGAGGAGTTGATCAAGGCTATCACGCCGAGTATTCTATCTACGTTATAGAAGATTACTTCAATCTTCCTTTCAGTTAAAGCTAGGCAGGCCAACCAATTTGTTCTAGTTTTGCTTCCATTTTCTTCATTTATAAAGTTGTGTTAGACATTTGTACTCCTGATTGGCTTATATAAATTGTTGAGATTTGAGATAGATTAACACTTACGTAGTAATTGGTTAATCATGAATACAATGAGTATGTTTGTGTTAAAACAACAAAAAATTCATAGACTGAAACGTAGGATCATTACTAATTTACTATACACATGATAAATCTCAAATAGTAGGTTTTGTTCTATGTTAATCGAATTAATCTAAGTTATTGTAAGTTGCCATTGTGGTGAAGACTGAGATAATGTGCCAAAACCAGTCTCATTAATTTATCACCATCACCATTTCCAAAATCACATATATATAAATTAAAATCGTTTTTGTTGTGTGTTCCTTCTGCTTTGAATTGATTCCTTAGTCTTTTTTTTTCTTCTATACTTTGTTGGGTCATGTGTGGAAACATAGCATATCATTCATCATCACTTCTTGCATGCCCCGCAAGTGCACCTCTCCATCCCCTTCTCCAGTGACTGCACATTACAAACAATCAACAAAACACAAACAATAAGCAAAAATTTACATGTGTAAAATATCGAACAAGCTCTATATATGTTTTGGAATCTCATTATCCAGTCGTACGGCTTTATATGGGCACAAGTTCAACTCGAGTATTTCTTCATATTGGTTCGTGGTTTATCTGCTATTTGGTTAAAAAGTAGCAGTTTCTCAACATATATATATATTTTTTTTTTGCTAAGAATATATATATATATATATATACAATAGGAATATGATTATTTTTAATTCAGTTTGAGAAAATGCCATATCCCATATGCCCATATATGGAGTTAAGGACGCACCTCTATATGGTGTTGAAGACCTTTGATATGCTCAACAGCCAAATCCAACATGTCTGCATAACTCGTTTGCTGCAAAAGAAAATCCATCAACATTATTCTGAGCTATATCAATACTATTAAAAGAGAAGGAGTTCTAAAAAATCTACTTAAAATAGTTGTTTGGCCTATCTATTATTATTTTGGTGTTACAATTAATTCAAACAAAACCTTACCTTATTTTGATTCTTATTGCATATCCATTAATAGCGGAGAAACCGTTACAAAATGGTTTAACCGTGTGACATTTTTCTTTGGATAACCTTTAGTATGTGACATTACCAAATACATTTATAATAGTGCACAACACACGTTAGTATATTAATTTTCCATTTCACAATCTAAGTTTGTGGGAGAATCCTAAAACAACTTCACTTGGAAAATGAGATTTCATCGGTATACATAGTTATAGTATAATAATGTATACCGATGAAAATATTTTAGTTTTAAAACTCACAAATGTAACTTTAATATATTTATAATATCAAAAATTTATGGGTTTTTACTGATTCAAACGGTGTCGGTTCATGAGTTAACGACATGCTTTTAAATTTTGTTGAAATTTTAGTTAATGAGCTTTTCATTTAATCGAGACCAGATTATATACGGTTTATCATGTTTACCGGTTCGACCGCGCAAGTCTAAATCATATATTGAAACATTACTTCTATATCTTAAGTCATCTATAAACCACATATGTACCCCAACTAAAAGGAGCTAAATAGTTTGTAAAACTACAATGCCTTTTTCGCACCATTCAAATGTAGATGCACTATTAGTCATCAACATTTGGTTTCAGTTTTGGTAATGGTGTTGTCGTTTTAGAAAATTAGGAGCTCTTCAGGTATGTACAAAGTTTGGTTTGGTTTGGTTTGGTTTCAGTTGAGTTATTTTGGTTTCTGATTTGGTTCATGTAGCAAAATTAGGAATCATCTAACATCCAAAATAAACCAGGGTACAATTTAGTTCCAGTTCGATTATGGTTTCTGGTAATTTCAGATTTATAAGAAAAGTATCGGATAATTCGGTTTTGTCAGTTTAAATATCGGGTAATTCAAGTTGTTTGGACAAGAATATCGAATAACTCGGATAAATTTAACATTTAAAATAAAAATTTGGGTATTTTTTTTTTGGTAATTCAGTTTATAAATAATATTTTTAGATATTTGAGTATTTAGAAATTAAATATAGTTAATATTTTAGATATATAATGAATACTATTAAAACTAGAACGATCAACTTACTAGATCACTGGATTATTGGCTCGCTGGCAAACTGCGGATTGCTAAATTAATCAATTTTGTTATATAATAATATATTAGTTATTAAAAAAATAAAATAAATATTTTCTGTTTTAAAAACAAATTTAAAAATATGGAACTTTAGTTTCTTTATTTTAGTTTATATAAAATATCAGAAACAAAAATAATGTAGATTATTTAACAAATTTTGTAGCAAGTTAAGAGTTATAAATATTAAAAAAAAAATCAATATTATTAATTTAGGATCACTCTTAACTATTATCTCTACTACTATGTGGCATATTACATCTTTTGCCACTGAACTTACTTTCAAAAATATTTATTTGATTTAATTATCTAACAATAACTACTTTGTACGTTGGATTCACTGTAAACTTTTAAATAACCGGGACAACTTTTTAGATAACAAAAACAGCCCAGTGACTTTAATTCTACAATTTACGTTTCAAATTCAGATAAAAAAACAAATAGCAGCGAAAAAAATATGATTATACAAACACACAAACATATAAACTATATTAGGTAAAAATTTTAAAAACAAAAAAATATACCCGCCCTCTTAAGGGCGGGTCAAAATCTAGTAATCTTCTTAAATACATAACTGAATAATTAATATCCCTCACCTTGTCCATATTGGGTACCAGTTCTTGTAGCTTCTTCAGCTTCCCGCTTATTCTCGTTCTTCTCTCCTATATATTAAACTTGATCATATTCTTGTTTTCTTTGGGTTTTACATATAATTTCCCATGTATGGGATTATATGCTTGATTATGTAGTAGTAATATTGTAATACAATAGAATACAAACTAACCCTTTCAGCTATGCTGCGCGGGTGAGTAGCACAGCCACGCTTGGCCCTAATCTTCCAAGGCACCGAATCCTCTGGAACGTTCACCAAACTCTCCATCTCCAGTGACGTTTGTGGCATGCTGAACTAAACAATAAACCATAGAAAATCACTACCTTGTGGAAAAATTATAAATAAATCAATCTTAAACCTTCTCCTAGATATTTATCTGTATTACACATAACCACTCGGCATGCATGAACTTGTTGTGACATATATTGTTACTGGCATTTTTTTCAACCTGAAATCCAATTGCTAATAACTTTATTTTTTCCTATTACTAATAACTTTATGGAGTTTCAATCTGGTTTATATATTTCATATTATATGCGTTACATAAAACCATTCACCACAGTGTAAATATCATTTAGTAACATACAACTTGTAGATCATACATATATCAATCATAAACTATCCCCAAACTTAGACAAACTAAAATATAGATACAAAGTACAAAACCTCTAAACTTTGGGCATATTCATTTTCCCCCTCTATCTATGAGTATTATTGAAACTTTTGTTGCATAAAAGGTTTATTTATTCAACATTATACAACATAAATACATATAATAAACAACCACAAAATCATAGAAATACCTGAGTTTCTAAGGTGAAAAAGTCGGTAGGCTTTGACCGTTTGCCTGGTTCATCAATGGTGAAACTGATATGAGAAGACGAGTTGTCCCAGACGTTATGATCATTTCCAAAACTCATACTCGTGGATGCAACCCCGTTTATAGCCGCCGGCGCAGCAGCTTGGACCTCCGAGATACGGGGTAGAGAGTTATGTTCTTGATGACTACTACTACTCCCGCCCGAGAATCTCAGCTCCGACTTCAACCTTGACGGCACTCGCTCACCTTCTACGCCGTATCCTCCGTTTGGCCGCCCTAGAGGAAAACCGGTTCCCTCTTCCATCAACAGATTTAGATAGAAAGAGTAAGAAAGATATGTAATGTTATGTAGGGTTATAACTTGTAATTAATATTATCTGAGTATTTTAATAACCAGTATGGTTTTTAAAATGTTTTTTTTACAAGATAGAAGAGAATTGGTCTTTTTGTTCGACACTCGAGGACCTCTTCCTTTGTCTCTACTTGGTTTTATTTATCTCCAATTTGGCAGAGAATAACGATTCATAAAAAGAATCTTAATAAATTCACTATTCGAATTCCAATTATTATTACTATTATTGTTTATGTTTATATAATAACGCAAGAGGGGGTGAAATTTCTTGGGCTCGCACATGGATTACAGAGGAAAAAATAAACCAAAAATCGAAGGAGTGACTATGATTACTTGCAACTAACAATATTGTAATTGATATAGTTTTTATAATGACAAGTAGGCGAATCCAGAAATCAAAGGAGTGACTATGATGAAGCCATGTCATCAGGGTGAGCTCCCATGGCTGCTTTGTCAGAAGAAAAAGCTCAAGTGGGATGTACAATATTGCCAAGTGTACTATACTTTGTACTGACTCGCTTTTTAACATATACTTTTGGCAAGTGCAAGTTTTAATAATACATGCTATTTGCATTAGCTTAATAGATTGCATTATTAAAAGATACAACTTGCCTCTTCTGGAAATACGTGTTTAACCGTTCATGCATGTATATGTATATATTTATACATTTTTATACATGTATTTTCAGTATATATAAGATATACAGTAATTTTTAATAAATTAATAAAATTAGAACTATGATATTTTATTAAAATCTAGATTTAGTAGTTTACCGAAAGAAACTAGATTTGTATATTGTGATGTATGTTTTGATGTAGAAAATATTTAATTTTACCGTTTATATATTGATTAAATTTTATAGATAAAACTTCTATGTTTTTTATTTGATTATTTGACGTATGAAAAATATTCATAAAACTGTAAATGTATTATTAAGTGTAAAATGACAAATCACAATATTTTGAATTATTAGAATTTCACCAAAAACTAAAAATAAGCTATACAATATTTTATTTATTTTGGGACTAGATATTATATAAAATCAAAAATGAGTTTTTATCGAATCATATTATATTTTACATTGTTCTAAAAACACATGTAAAACCTATTAATTTATCAGTTTTACTGTATATGTATATGGATAGACTGACCCTAGATTAATTGACCATGTCAACCAAAAAATGGTATAGCTATATGTTTTGATAGCTATTGTGATTTCAATCAGTTGAGTTGTCGATATTATACTCTGATTTTATAAATTAGTTGGATATCAAGTTTATTTCCACAATATTTAGGCCATAGAAGTCTAAATCTTTGTTCAGACGTCTGCACCAAAATATATGCTTCGTGGGTTGGATACTATAAGGCATATTGAGTTGGCCCATTTAATCTAGGAGAATTTGTCAAAATGACCTAAAATTTGATTTAAATGCAAACATTTATCCTAACTTCAATCAAATGTAAAAGTAATCCAAAAATTATTAAAATCATGCACGTGAGAAGACTCCCTAAAATTCTTATCTTACAGCAGATTAAAAAAAGATTAGAAATTTTATAAAAACATATATTTATATGGAGAAAAAAATTGAAAGAATCTAACTATAACTTATAAAAATAAGATAAATTTAGATTTAATAAAATTAATTTGTTTGCATCATAGATGAGTGAAACAAATTTAAAAGTAATCCAAAAATTATTAAAATCATGCACGTGAGAAGACTCCCTAAAATTATTTTCTTACAGCAGATTAAAAAACGATTAGAAATTTTATAAAACAAATATTTATATGGAGAAAAAATTGAGAGAATCTAACTATAACTTGTAAAAATAAGATAAATTTAGATTTAATAAAATTAGTTTGTTTGCATCATAGATGAGTGAGTAAATGTAAATTGTATCATGATATGCTTTGTTTTAGTGTTTGGTAACATATGTTATTGTTTGTATTCTGAGGGTTATATTTTGGAATCTTAATTTTTTTTTTAAAAAAATTAACTTTAACTTATATTTTTTTAGTTTTGTATATATTAAACATTTTAAAAGTTCATTTTAAATTTAATGAAGTATTTGTTTCTATTTAATAAGTTATATGATTTTAAGGTCTAAATATGTTGTATGAGAAGACTTTTGAGAGTCTTCTCACGCGCATGATTATAATCGTAAAAGTCAATTCAGATTTTTTGTTTGATCATAAGGATTTGGTTGTAATTTCACTAGAATTTTGGGTTATTTTTGCATTCGATTGAAATTGGAATATATTTTTAGGTTTAAAATCAAGTTTTTGGTCATTTTTGACAAATTTCTACAAGTTATAACAATTGTATATATATTTTTCTTAAGTTTTGTTTTATTGTTATTTTTAACTAAGTTTAAATTTTACAAAACATGTAAAATTCACTATTTTTTTAATTTTTATTTTCTATATCATGTACAATATATTTTAAAGAAAAAATTTATATGAAACAAAACAAATAAAATATTTGTAAGTATTCGTAAATATCCGAAAATATCTATATATTTTTGAACATATATTCAGTTTTCTAATATATCCGTATTTTTCTGAAAAAAATTAAAAATTAAATATCGTAATATATGAAGTAAATCACATTATGCTAGTATTCTCTACGTGTCCACCCTTAATGGTTATATGCTATTGTAGATTGTTCTTTATGAGACGATTTGTTTTGGCGTGATTGTAAGTTTCTTTCTTTTTAACCCAATTTCTTAATTTGTTTCTCTATCGTATATGAGTTAGTATTAGGTATTTACCTTTTCCCTTTTTAAGAAAATTGGTTAGACTTAATATATTTACTGAGACTTGGACCTTTTCTAAAACAAGCCTTGGATATATTAACTATGTAAAATAGTTCCACATGTATTATTTAATGATTAGTTTCTTTATAGGTTAAAAAAAATGTCTTTACAGGTGAATCGATTGTAACATTTTACGTTAACTGAAACTGTAGGTGACCACTGATGAGTAGTGATGGCGTTGTCCCCTTTAATACCACTGATGGCACATGCTTATCCTCTAAGGATTTGTATTCTGCAGTACGCTGTGTTCTCTCATCTTCTAGTCATTTCGGTTCGTCTCTTCTCTTAAGTCTCAGCTTGTTCTCATGTAGATTGGTGTGAGATGATTGTTGTATGGATCACCGAATATACGGATTATGGTCTTAAATTGCAATGTCCAGTGATCTTTGGTTTATTTGGTTCTGATTTTTGTCTGCTTGTGACTTTCTTGTCATTTTAGTGCGAAATTTTACTGCTTATATATGGTATTTAATCTGGCTTTTGGTGTTATGAGTTTGTGTTTTCTTTTCTTTTTAACGCTTCTTCGATTGTTTATGATTAATGGCCATCCATGTCCGTTTTTTCGGTCCATTGGCTCTATCTCGTTCCAATGGTCAATCTGTTAATTTTTCCAAAGGTTCGAAATCATTGTTTATTGACTCTGTAATTACTATTCGATTTGTTTCCATACTGTCTTCACTCGCACGGTATTGCGAATCAATTCCCGATAGGTTACCTATCTTTTCATTATTCCAGTCTAAGCATGTGTAACTATTCCAGTCCAAAGGTTCGAAATCATTGTTTATTGACCCTGTAATTACCATTCAATTTGTTTCCATACTTTGTCTTCATTCGCACGGTATTGCGAATCACTTTCCGATAGGTTACATATCTTTTCATTATATAAGCATTTGTTGCAGTGTTTGTAACTTTTCAAGTTACATGATATACACTTATTCAGAAAAGTTATGAGATCGTAGTCTTTTGGTTTCTTATGGTGTTTTTTTGTAATGATGTGTATTGACATTCTGTTGTTTGTTTATTCAATGTTTTAGTTTGTTTAGTTGTTAATGGCTTTGATGTATTCTTTATTAGTGAAGTTTAAATTCTTTTAAGTTTCAATGAAAGTTTGGTTTGAACCAAAAAGTAAATTGAAACTGTAGAATGTCCTTATTTAATTTGTTACAACTGCTTATAAATATCTTATTATCATATATTCGCCTTTTTAAGTTTTAAATGAAAGTGGTTTGCCTTTATTTAATTTGTTATAATTGCTTATAAATATCTTATTATCATATATTCGCCTTTTTGTGACTATAAGTAAAAATTTTAAAATAGAATCGTCAACTCCATGTCATAAATTAAACCACGTGCACCTTAATTCTTAGTAAACTTTTTTGTCAAAGGTATAGTTTTCTAGTGAGTAAAAAAAATCGTATTACTTGTTTACAACACTATTAAGTCCATTAGATAATCATATATGTAAGTGATCACCCGAAACACATTTATATGTACATCTTAAAGTACCGTATGTATACTAAGGTGATTTCATTTTCTTTCTTTCTTTGAATTCTCCTATTGTCCATTTAGCGGATTATCATTAATGAATGATTTTCTTGATTAAAATTTATGAAAATTTAACCACATCAACTGGTTAATCTCCAAAACTTATCGGTTAACTAATAACCACAAATGTGCTAGTCCAGTTGATTTAATGCATGTGTTAGTGTTGTTGCGTTTCTAACTTTGTGAAAGATACTTTACACAACGGATCTTATCAGTATCCATCGTGTTTCGGACGTTGGAGATTATGGATTTTGTCTGCAAAACCACTAGATAATCAAGAAAAAAACTGATCTTAATGAATCTATACTCTTTTTATGCATATATATATATATATATATATATATATATATATTCATTGATAGGTACCTATATAAGAGCATCTTACTAGGAGCAAATTCCAAGAAAGAGCAGCTTAGTTTATGATAAAGTGATGTCACCTTCTATATCATTCATTCAATATTTTATTTAAAATACTAACAAGCAAAAACAGTAATGAGATTTTATTTTATATGTTTCGCTACAAAACATAGAATAAAACAAATAAAGAGAATAAGACGAGACATAAAGGGCTAGGTTAGTTGTTGGAGGCTGC